GATAGACTATTTCCCATACAGGATATGATAAATACAAAATTATAAACAAGTTTTTTTTTAATAAATTTAATTAATGAATTGCAAAATAATATATGGATGCAGTTGTTAATATTTTTAGGCCATTTTGTAAGCCGTCTCACTCCGCGATTATAAAAACTTGATATTTCAACCTTTTTATAAAAACTTCTTCAACCCTAAATGCGTTATTCGCGTCCTCGACAATGTAAACTCAGCCCCTCCTATATATAAACTCCCAACTATATTCCCTGCACTTTCATTATAAAGACAACTTTCAGTTGATACCTAAATACGCACTTCAACTCGTCCTTCAACTAAAACTTCGTCTATAAAAACTCCCAGCTTCAGTCTATAAAGACGTCCATAAATACTCCCACTTCAGTTTGTCTATAAGAACTCCCTTCAGATTGTCTATGCAGACTCACTCTAGTTGGTCTATTAAGACTCACTTCAGTTTGTCTATAAAGACTCCCTTCAATTCGTCTATAAAAACACCCTTCAATTCGTCATAAAGACTCTCATCAGGTCGCCTATTAAAACTCCCTTCAGCTAGTCTATAAAGACTAGGTCGTCTATAAAGACTAGGTCGTCTATAAAGACTAGGTCGTCTATAAAGACTAGGTCGTCTATAAAGACTCCCTTCAGCTCGTCTATAAATACTCCCTTCAGCTCGTCTATAAAGACTCCCTTCAGCTCGTCTATAAATACTCTCTTCAGCTCGTCTATAAAGACTCCATTCAGCTAATCTACAAAAACTCCCTTCAGCACGTCTATGAAGACTCCTTTCAGCTAATCTACAAAAACTCCCTTTTGTAACTTTAGCTCTTCTTTAAATGCTCACGTCAGGTTGCATATTAAATCTTCTTCCATATCGGATATAAAGACTCATTTCAAATCCAATATGAAGACTCTATTCACCTCGTCTATAAAAAAATCTCTTCAGCTGTTCAATAAAGACCCTCCCCTGCTTGGCTATAGATTTTTGTCTACTGTTACAAAATCATCGACCGTTCAATAACCTATAATTTATATAATGACTCAATTAATCAAACGACCCGATTAGTAGTTAATTTATTATATTCAAGTAAACATATCACCGTATATAACTATTAGTTGTATACACAATTGTTTAGATAAATATTTATTAGGTGACTAATATTCAATACTTTGAATATCTTGAATTCTATTTAGCTATACATATTCGGAAAAAAGTTGCGTGTTGTATAGATGCGTGTCTCCTAGTGGCTACGTTATAGAAATTAAACTGTGAAATCACACACAATTTACGATAATTATCCTATTCGGATTTACACTGAGGTCACGAATGTTTTCGTTTAGACCAAAAAACAAATGTTTGAAAAATGCTTCAAATCAGCTTCACTTATTCGTATTATCTAAAATACTATTGAAATATTCTCAATAGGTAGTTTTCAAAATTGAAACAGCATTTTTTTCTCGAGTATAATTAAAAACGAATAGCATGCCATTTATATAAATATGAACCATACAATATTTTAACAAGTTCTATTTCTGAATTTGTTCGAAACAAGTCACAAATATTCGATATAAATATTCGCAAAAATCCCAAAAGGAAGAAACTCTCCGTTCGCCACAATGTTAATTACATTGATATCCTTTGTCTTCATACTGACACATGGTTGTAATGCTCAGGATAATATCATCACAGTAGATACCCAATTGGGCAGCATAAAAGGTTTGGAAATGGAAACTCGTTTTGGTAATAAATTTTGGTCCTTTCGTGGTATACGTTATGCTGAACCACCTCTGGGCGAGCTTCGCTTTCAAAATCCCCAACCAATAAAACCATGGATACCGTCTATCTTAGATGCTACCCAAGATGGTCCCCTGTGTCCTCAAGTAAGTGAACACCCGGAGATGTTATCTGAAGATTGTCTACATTTAAATGTCTACACAAAAAATACAAATCCTCCGCATGGACAATTAAAACCAGTCATAGTTTTTATATATCCTGGAGGATTTCATAGAGGCACTGGCGTAAGCCTTCTAATGGGACCACAATATTTCATGGAACGTGACATCGTTTTGGTGACCTTAAATTATCGTCTAGCTTCGTTGGGATTTTTGGCTACGAACACAGCAGAAGCCACTGGTAATATGGGTCTCAAAGATCAAGTTATGGCTTTACGTTGGTTACGAGATCATGTAGAGAAATTTGGTGGTGATCCAAATTCGATTACATTATGGGGTTATAGTGCTGGTAGTCTAAGTGTGGGCTTACATATGCTATCGCCCATGTCAAAGGGACTATTTCATCGTGCAATAATGCAAAGTGCATCACCATTGGGTCATTTTCGTTATGACAACAATCAAATGGTATTGGCCGAAAAGCAAGCGAAATTGTTAGGCTGTCCGGTTGCAACAACATCGGATATGATGAAATGTTTAAAGGAGGTGAGTTGTGGATGGATATGGATATTATAGACGAAATGAATGTGTGCTTATACCTGCTGGTCAAAGAGTTTTTATAGACGAGACCATCAGCTCCTTATAGACTGACCTCCTATAGACCAGCTGGTGGTCAGCTAGTCTTTATGGAGGATCTGGTGGTCCGGGAGACTAGGAAACCTTAAAGACTCCTTTCAGCTCGTCTGAAAAGATCCCCATTATCTCGACTATAAAGGCTCAGCTCGTCTACAACGATCCCCATCATCTCGACTATAAAAAATCCCTTCAGTACGTCTATAAAGACCCCCTTCAGCTCGCCTATAAAGACTCCCTTCAGTTCGTCTATAAAGACTCGCTTCAGTTCGTCTATAAAGACTCCCTTTAGCTCGTTTATAAAGACGACGATGATCTGGGAGTCCTTATAAATGAGCTGAAATTCCTCTGGGAGTCCTTATTGGCGATCAGGTTTTATAGACTAGCTACATTTATTTATAACAATTATGTCCAGGCCTTATGGAGTACATAGGTACTTAAAATTGTTCCCACATACCTTTTAGAAACCCATGATTGATTTTGTGAACACTTCAGCCGATATGTTCGAGTCCAATTGGAATCCCATTTACAATTGGTTTCCAGTGGTTGAAAGTGATTTTGGACAAGAACGGTTTCTCACCGAAGATCCCTATAAAACTATGATGAATGGTGATTTTAATAAAGTTCCCCTCATTATCGGTTTGGCTGAATATGAATTGTATTTCTTTGCATATCGTAAGTTATCAAAATTATATTATTCAAAATTACTATAGGAAATACAAAATCATTACAGATACCTTAAGCAACGATGAGCAGCGCCAACATTTCATAGATGAATTTGATAAATACGCACCAATATATTTCCTTTACGAACGAAGTGGTCCAGCATCCATGAACATAAGTCAGCAATTGCGTACGTATTATTTTGAAAATAATGCAATTGAATTTCCCAAATCTGTGGAAAAATTTGCCGAGGTATATAGCGACAGTTTGATATGTTTTGCCAATTATCGGTTTCTTGAAATGATTGCCGAACATGTACCGGTCTATAATTATTTATTCAATTATAAGGGACGTTATAATTATTTTAAACTTGATGAAGCTTTGGGTAAATAGGTCCAACATATTATTAATTTTTTATAAACCCAATAATTATGTTTTTCTATAAAATAGGTGCCATGCATCTTGATGAGCTTCTTTATTTCTTCAATTCGCCACTTCTGACACCCATCTTTACTACAGGCGATCCTGAAAATGATACCATAGAAATATTAACACGTATGTGGTATGAATTTGCCAAGAAGAGGTAAGTTGTAATGGGGATTTGATTGATGTTTGAAATAAATTAAATGGAAAATATTATAGTGATCCAAATAATCCATCCGATGATTATTTGAAAAATATTCAATGGCCTTTGTATAGCGCGAACAATAAGGAATATTTGAAAATTGAAAAGGATATCAATGTCAAAATGAATGGAATATTTTCAGAGCGTATGGCGTTTTGGGACAGTATTTTCCCTTTGCAACAAGTAATTGGTAAATTGTAATGAAGGTTGAATTACTTATTTAAATAAATATATAACAATACAGAGCATACAAACAGTTGTGTACTTCCATATATAACTAGAAATATCTGGTGGGAGTATTTTTGTACGAACTGAAAGGTATTTATGCACCAGCTGAATGGAGCCTCTGTAGACAAGCTGAGAAGAGTCTTTATAATTGAGCAGGAGGGAGTTTTTTAATGGGAGAATTTATAGACGAACTGAAAAATGCCTTTATAGACGAGCGGAAGAGATATTTATAGAAAAAATTATGGTAGAAGTTAAAGACTAGCTGGGGGAATCCTAATAGAATTTATGAGTCTTCAAAGGCGAGCTAAATTGAGTCTTTATAGGCGATCTAAAGGGACCCTTTATAGACGAGCTGAAGGGACTCTTTATAGACCAGCTGAAGGGAGTCTTTATAGACCATCTTAGGGGAGTCTTTATAGACGAGCTGAAGGGAGTCTTTATAGAAGAGCTGTAGGGAGTCTTTGTAGACGAGCCGAAGGGAGTCCTTATAGACGAGCTTAAAGGAGTCTTTATAGACGAGCTTAAGGGATTCTTTATAGACGAGCTTAAGGGATTCTTTATAGACGAGCTTAAGGGTGTCTTTATTGACGAGTTGAATGAAGTCTTTATAGACGAGCTGAAGGTATTTGTTTATTATCTGAGGGGAGTCTTTATGGACGAATTGAAGGTAGACTTTATAGACGGGCAAGGGAATAGAATTCATAGAATTGAGTGTTTTTTGACGAAGTAAACCAACTATTTATAATTTTTTATTTTTGGCGAACTAAAAATGGTCCGAGGCATTTTTTCTAAGTTTCTACAGATTATACTAATAACAATTATTTGTTTACGCGCCGCTGCTTATTTCACTTTAAAATTTTTAAATTTGTATTATGTATATTTTTAATTATTTTTAAAATTTTTTCTTCGAACACAACCTTTACACTTCTTTAAACAATGTTTAAAATATTTTAAAATCTAGAACCCTTGTCCTCAGCATACAAAAAGTATATTGAAACCGTATCACCATTGGGCAAATGTACAGCTTCCTCGTGACTTATTAAACGTATAGCAGCCAGACCATAGAACAACATAGGTAAACCTAGCCAGAAATGGATTGTAATATTAAATAAAATCAAAATCCAAAACAAAAGTATTTTTCGGCTTACCCAAATTAATAATTTTCAAAAATCGAAAGAATTTATCTTCCAACGATAAGTCTTGTATTTCACGCTTAGTACAGTGGTATTTCAAGTAGGGATAACATGCTGTCCTCAAGATATGATAATTTGCACCAGTATCAAGAGTCCAATTAAAATGTGATCTACCCCATTGATCATTTTCGACATCCTTTAACTAGATGAGTGGAGATATGTATTAGAATAGAAATATACATATTGAATTGACTCGAGTGTTACCTTAACGAAATACGATGTCCATGGTGGTTCGTTACATTGTTTCAAATAGGCTGTCAATACTTCTGAGGCCCTTGGTTTAAACAGAATCCGGCTAAGTTGCATTGTGTAATTTTTGTTTTGTTTTATTTGGAAAACCAACAACACCAAACAGCTGGTGTTTATAAATATTCGAACAGCTGTTCAGGGATGTAGTGTTGGAAAGCGTAAAACCAAATATAAAGAGGATTATTTTAAAATTTTACCGTTGCCAATATCAATTTAATACGGGTTTGAAATAAAATGCCATTCTCGAAATTAAATTGAAATTATCATTTCCCTTGAATGCAAGTATTTGATGATTTTGGGTTTGCTTTTATATCTTATACTAGCATATACCCGCTACTTCGTTAGCGAATGTGGGATGTATTTAAAACCACCCTATATCGACCATTATTAAAATTTTAGAACCATTTAGTACCATAGTATGTTCTCAAATATACCTCTGTATCTCAACCCTACACACCCATTCGGACCGCAACAGAAATCTACCTCTATACTAAATTAGGTGCAATTTTTTACACCCATTCGTTCATATAGGTTCACCCACAATTCAAATTGTACCAAATTTAGTACACAATAGATCGAATTTCCAAAACCTCCTTCTTAGCCCAAACCAACACCCAAACAGTGTTCCTAAATCCAAGTTTCAGGATTCCACCTCTATCGGTTCACCCACAATTCAAATTGTACTAAATTTAGTACATAGTTGTACTAATTTCCAAAATTTTCTACATACCCTAATTCTACACCACCACAGTGATCCTAAATCAAAATTTCAGGATTCCAACTCTATCGGTTCACCCACAATTCAAATTGTACTAAATTTAGTACATAGTAGTACCAATTTTCAAAACTTCCTACATACCCTAATTTTACACCTCCACGGTGATCCTAAAACAAAATTTCAGGATTCCAACTCTATCGGTTCACCCACAATTCAAATTGTACCAAATTTAGTACACATTAGTACCAATTTCCAAATCTTCCTACATACTCCAATCCTACACCTCCACAGTGATCCTGAATCAAAATTTCAGGATTCAAACTTTATCGCTTCACCCACAATTTAAATTGTACCAAATTTAGTACACATTAGTACAAATTTCTAAAACTTCCTACATATCTCAATCTTACACCTCAACAGTGATCCTGACTCCAAATTTCATGATTCTAGCTCTATTGGTTCACCTAAAATTCAAATTGTACCAAATTTAGTACCATTTAGTACCCATAAGTATTATTTTCTTAAACTGAATCCTGACCCTAATCCTACATCCCTACAATGATCCTAACTCCAAACTTCATTGTTCCAGCTCTATCGCTTCACCCAAATCCAAATTGTACCAATTATAGCAAGATTTAGTACTTTTTGTACACATAAGTAAAAACTTCCAACTACGTACATATCCCAATCCTACACTCCGACGGTAATGATAAATTTCAATTTTCGATTTGTACCTCCGATTTGTACCTCCAAATCAAATTTGTACCAAATATAGTACCATATAGTACATTTCGTACACGTGAGTAGACGCTTTCCAAACTCTCCTCATATCGACCCTACTTCTCAACGTTATTTTACATTCCAAATTTCAAGTTTTTAGCTCAATCCATTCACATGCTACGAAATTGTACCAAATTTAGTACATTTTCGTACTTTTCGGATAGTTATAGTTCGAATTTCCAAAAACCCTTTAGTACATCTATCCTACAGTCAATCAACGACCACTAATCCAAATTTCTAGTTCTAGCTCCACCGGTTCGCCAAATGCAAATGGTATCACATTTAGTACTTTTCGTACCGTTCTAGTACGAATTTCCAAAAACCCAGCCTTATCTGTCACATTTGGGCCAAGAGTGACCCTCACCCCAAATTTCAAGATTCTAGCTTCAGCCGTTTCGTCTGGGCGTTGATGAATCGTTAAATCAGTCAGTCAATCACTTTACTCTTTTATTAGTATAGATATATCTAAAAAAAAACTTTGGAGATATTTGACATTACCAAAATGTGTACATTTTGTTGTAACATTAATTTTATCTTTATTACATATATAATTTTTATCATATAGTATATGTCTGTTACTTCGTTAGCGAATGTGGGAAAAATTTAAACATGTATTAACCTATTATGCTATTTTCACATAATACTGCATATGTCAGAAAAATTAATCAATATGCACATTAATATCGACCATAAAGTACCAAATTTCATGATTCGACCTCTAAAGGTTCACCTAAATCCGAATTTTACCAAATTTAGTTACATTTAGTTTAGTTGCACACATTAATATAAATGTCCATACGTACATACCTCAACCATCCAACAGAAATCGTATAACCGTTTCATTTTCATTGCTTTCCATTGCTATATACTTCATATAATCCAATGAAATGCTTATTTCCCCAATTTCAGGATTGAAGACTTATCGTTTCAAACAAATCCAAATAGTATCAAATTGTGTACATAGTAGTACGAATTTCCAAAACTTCCTACTTAACCTAAACATACACTCCCACAGTGACCTAAATCCAAGATTCAGGATTCCAACTCCATAGGTTCACCCACAATTCAAAATGTACCAAATTTAGTGCACAGTAGTTTGAATTTCCAAAACTTCCTACTTAACCCAAATTCCAAAACATCCTACATATCCCAATCCTACACCCCCACAGTATTCCTAAATTTAAATTTCCGGATTCCAACTCTATCGCTTCATCCACAACTTAAATTGTACCAAATTTGGTATACATTAGTACAAATCTCTAAAATTTCCTACATTTCTCAATCTTACACCTTATTGATCCTGACTCAAAATTTCATGATTCTACCTCTATTGGTTCACCTAAAATTCAAATTGTACTAAATTTAGTACCATTTAGTACGAATTTCAAAAACTTCCAACTTAACCCAAACCAAAATCTAAATTTCAGGATTCCAACTCTATCGCTTCAGCCACAACATAAATTGTACAAAATTTAGTACACATTAGCACAAATTTATGCATATCTCAATCTTACACCTCAACAATGATCCTGACTCCAAATTTCTGATTCTAGCTCCATTGGCCCACCTAAAATTCAAATTGTACAAAATTTAGTACCATTTAGTTCGAATTTCAAAAACTTCCAACTTAACCCAAAGCAACACCCCCACAGTGCTCCAAAATCTAAATTTCAGGATTCGAACTCTATCGGTTCACCCATAATTCAAATTGTACCAAATTTAGTACACAGTTGTACGAATTTCCAAAACTTCGTACTTAACTCAAACCAACACCCCCACAGTGATCCTAAATCCAAGTTTGAGGATTCCAATTCCATTGGTTCACCCACAATTTAAATTGTACCAAATTTAGTACACATTAGTACAAAATTTTAAAACTTCCTACATTTCTCAATCTTACACCCCCACAGTGATCCTAAATCTAAGTTTCAGGATTCCAATTCCATCGGTTCACCCACAATTTAAATTGTACCAAATTTAGTACAAATTAGTACAAATTTTTAAAACTTCCTACATATCTCAATCTTACACCTCAACAATGATCCTGACTCCAAATTTCATGATTCTAGCTCTATTGGTTCACCCAAAATTCAAATTGTACCAAATTTAGTACCATTTAGTACGAATATCAAAAACTTCCAACTGAACCCAAACCAACACCCCCACAGTGCTCCAAAATCTAAATTTCAGGATTCCAACTGTATCGGTTCAACCACAATTCAAATTGTACCAAATTTAGTACACATAAGTACAACATTTTAAAACTTTCTGCATATCTCAATCTTACACCTCGACAGTGATCCTGACTCCAAATTTTATGATTCTAGCTCAATTGGTTCACCTAAAAATCAAATTGCACCAAATTTAGTACCATTTAGTACCCATAAGTAATAATGTCTTAAACTGAGTCCTGACCCCAATCCTACACCCCTAAAATGATCCTAACTCCAAATGTCATTGTTTCAGCTCTATCGGTTCACCCAAATCCAAATTGTACCAATTATAGTACGATTTAGTACTTTTCGTACACATAAGTAACAAATTTCCAAAACTACGTACATATCACAATCCTATACTCCGACGGTAATGTTACTTTCAATTTTCAGGATTCTAGCTCCATTTGTACCTCCAAATCAAATTTGTACTAAATATAGTACCATATAGTACTTTTCGTACACATGAGTACACGGTTTCAAAACCATCTCCTTATATCGACCCTACTTCCCAACCCTAATTCGCATTCCAAATTTCAAGTTTTTAGCTCTATCCGTTCTCATGCTACAGAATTGTACCAAATTTAGTACATTTTCGTACATTTCGGATAGTTGTAGTTCGAATTTCCAAAAACCCTTTTGTACATCTATCCTACACTCCACCAGTGACCCTCAATCCAAATTTCAGAGTTCTAGCTCTACTGGTTCGCCAAATACAAATGATATCATATTTAGTACTTTTCGTACCCTTCTAGTACGAATTTCCAAAAACCCAGCCTTATCTGTCACATTTGGGCCAAGAGTGACCCTCACCCAAAATTTCAAGATTCTAGCTTCAGCCGTTTCGTCTGGGCGTTGATGAATCGTTAAATCAGTCAGTCAGTCAATCACTTTACTCTTTTATTAGTATATATTCAATTTGAATATTTATATTAATTTATAACAACCGTATTCAATTTTCAATTTATAAAAAAAGAATAAGAACATTACCATGAAAATTACAAAATCGGGCCCTACTGCACCGTTATGTTCTTTATAATCACATTTTCTCAATTTCTTGTATGCCCAAAATGCAATTGGGAAGCATTTGTAAAATTTCGTGTCAGTTGAAATTATATATGACAACTATATCCCAATCCGATCAATCGTTTTGTCATTTACATATATTGGTCTGTTCCCGATATAAAGTTCTGTTATATGTTTCCATACTCAAAAAGTTGTTAAACTTTCTAAATTTATCAATACAAAATACAATTTCGATCAGAGCTAACATTTTATTGAAATATTTAAAAACGGTTCAAAATGTATTTTAAGTCAAGAACAGCTCTCTGCTTTCCAACGAGATTATTTACATCATCAGCTGCTAA